ATATGATATTGTGTTTAGATACAAATAGACTTTGACTTATTAATGCAACGTAATTCACAAACTACAAATGTTAATTGAAATTAACAAGTGGTCACGTGACTCAGGCGGTGAGATCAAAAGGAAGGTCACTTCTTTGGGATTGATTACGTTTTTGCCGTGATATTATAAAGGAGAGATGCTGATAATTTGAACAAGCTACCAAGTCAAAATTGAGAAGGTCGCGTATTATTTCTCTGAAATGATATATACATGTATTGCGCAGGAAATTTTGAAGCCTGACTTCGGGGGAAGATTTGTGCCGTGTTATTCTCGAGATGGTTTTTGTTTCTTAGATAGCTGAGAAATATACCATTCTTCATTATATTGGTTGTGTCCGCGAGCAAACTTACCACAATTGCACGAAATATTACATGATTGGCCTCTCGTGTGGTATTCTTTGAACTAACCACTAGCTACTTGTAATACAAGGAGACTCCGTCTGAAATAAATTATTATCGGGCCTATTAACTCAGCAAACAAATGAATTGTAGAAAATGTTCTGTCATTGAGCTCCTACTGATTTTGTTGTTAGTTTCAATGAAGCAATAGTAAACAATGCGTATCATGTTTGTATTGAAATACGTTTCTTAGTGGTAATGCCAATGTGTGACATATTACTTATTGGTATGACATTGATTGCATCTCTTATTGCTCGTGGGAAGTGAAATTTAAAAAAGGTGTACTATGGTCCAAGATATAATGCATTGGCACCGCAATAAATACAATGTGATGACATTATTGTCATCCATGACTATATCCACATCAATATATGATAGAATGACCCTTGTGTAATACTTGATACAACTAGCCCTACTTTCCTTGTGCAATCAGAAATCGGATGGGGTTTTTAATATAATTATTAATGAGGTTGGTGGCGCCGTTGTTATTCCCCTTGTTCTCATTTGGAAAGATGGCATTACCTATTTAGACTGACCAAGATTTACATAGTTACATAGTGGATGTTGTCGATAAAGTAGAAGACGATTACTCTTCCGGAACACCTGGTCTTATTTTCCTTGTACTAATTGTAAATATCTCTTCTAGTCAAATTTACCACAGTTTCATTGAAGTTGAATTTGAATTAAGATTCTGTTGACATGTCATAAAATACAACGAAAAAAATTTCGTTGTTTTTATGGATACAATGTTGTATGTGCTTACAAACAACTCAACGATGTAGGTTCTAGTAAATGTTTTTATACATAGTTGACTTTTTTTACGCACTGATGTCAGTGTAAGTGAATAACTTGACATTTTGTGTATTTGTTTATAGCTAGATATAGGTAACTTTATATTAAAACAATATTGCATTTGCTCTTGTAAGACGTTTTGAATAAGATGGTGGTTTTATTATTGCCCTACAATGCTGGTAAAGTTCTGGTAATATGATACCATAACAATGAATACATTGGATTGACTATATTTCTATCATCTACAAGTACGGTGAAACTCTGATAAGCGGATTATGTTGACCCTTCATATTATTAGAGTTCGTCAGTTGACTAAGGTGTCCTCCAGGAGTTTTCGTACTGCTGCACTTGTTTTTGCAAGGTACTCGTATATCGACTTCCACACTGATGGCGCTGCCGCATCCTTTATAATTAGTTGTTTTGCCTTTCGCCATGTTAGATTATTGGACTGTTTCTAAGAAGGTGACACTGTTCAGCAGTGTTGGTGTGTAAATATCCTTCTACAACGTTTGTACTGTTGTAGTACTAACAGTCACATATCTCCCATACAGTTGAGATTTATATGCAATTTATTATTTGGCAAAGATCTAATTAGTGGATTTTTTTTCAAAAGTCACCAAAATTGTAGGCAAATTGACACTCCTTGCTAAAAATAAACGAAATTGGATCTGATCATGGGGTTTGATAGTTATAAGTGAAGTACAGATTCATTTGGAACGGGAAAAGGCTTCATCCGTTATCATCGATTTGCTGTCATATTTTTATTCACTGATTTAAATCACATATCATGATTTCCTAACCGTTTATTTTTATCTATGCTAGGTGTCCCGTCGTGGTACTTTTGTGATAGGAAATATCTTGTAATCACTGTGAAAATATGAATTATAATGAACATTGCCAAAACCATACGTTAGTGACAGATTACATATCACCCAGGCGATAACCTAGATCTATATTACTATGGAAAAACTCGAAACAATTATCTTTTTTCAATTGCCAATTATGAAGTGTGTCAAACTTTGAATTATAAATGAACACGTATTGATTAGGATGTTGTGTGTGAGGTGTAGAAGTTTCCCGCGTCCAGATGGAATGTCTATTAAGTAACCAATACCTATTATCTTGTTTATGTTTAAAGTTTCCTGGTCTTATATTGATATGTCGTATCATATTGTTGTCAGGGATATAATTTTTTCTGAATGAAACCTTATAATGTGGGAAAAACAAACATTAGTGTGTTTGTTAAAGCTTAGAAAAAAGGAGCAGGCATTAAATATGCCTACCTTCCTCAAGTGGAATAAGGGGTATATGAAAATTTCCTAAATCCTAATTGCCTCATTCGCACTCATCATTGTAGAATACAGTATATTGCATTAACGCAGACATAATTAACAATGAATGGAACTTTTTAGATGTATGCTCTATCTCTTCCTCGTCCGGAACAACGTGTGCTTTTCTATGGGTTTGCCATTTTATCTTGTTCTATAAAGCAGGCAGTTCACTGAGATGCAGCTTTGATAAACGTCGTTTTGCCCTATATTAGATTTCTTTGAATTTCGTGGTGAATCCAACATTACGTCATATAATGAACAATCATCACTCGCTTGTTTGGATTGTTATTGTCTCTCAATATCAAATACTTATACACATCCAATCATTTTTATGTTCTGTGTTTGATACAAATGCAATGTAAAAACAAAAGATTTTACATCATTACTTCCTGTAAAAATATTATTCGTATTTAAAGATCTACATTGCTCAGTATCATGTGATGTCATTTAGATGTCGGTGACCGACCTTTTGTCGATAAGAATAGTATTTGGATAACGATGGATGATTTATGGAATTTATGATCTGGTATAGCCATTACAGGAGGGAGGCTGGGGAAAATGAATAGAAAAGATAGATTGGTCATATATATCTCGCTTCATTTAAATGCTGCAAAATTAAGTGTCTACCGAAACTATTTTGTTATAAGCTTGACAATTTATTGACCTTAAACTATAGCGAATGTGATGAGTTTGTCTGACTTTTAATTCATATAGGCAGCCGAAATAGCTATTGTCTGGCTTCAGGAACCTTTTGTCTGCAGGAGACACAGTAAATATCAATTTTAGATATCTCACTGCACCAGGAGACTTGCATGCTACAATTGGTTAGTGTGATTTTAGTAATGCTGCGTTCATATAATATCCTAAACGGCTAGACAGATATTATGTAACTGTTAATAAGATGCACCTCGTCTATCGGTCTAACGAGATACGGACGGCGGCCATTTCTCCAACCTGGTTGTCAGTATGTTACAACTGCTTGTGATTATAACAGTTCAATTATGTAAGACACTGTTTACAGATGACTCTACCAACGGCACAAATGGTTAACAAGTTATAACTTTTTAATATTATTTCTTGACGGAACATATCATCTTGTACTGATTCTTATCTGTCGATGTGTCGACTCGTTTACCGTTGTATCTGCTCATGTATTTCGTTAAGTATCTATTCATATTTGTATCCCAAAGCTACATTTATTGATCTAGGTTTATTTTTGTTTGATTATTAATATGCCATGAGGTCTCGTTGTAGCGAACGTTTCGGAACGTGACCTTACTTTGGTTGGCAAAACTTTACATTGCAGGAAACAAAGCGACGGCCAAGCAATAGTCACTAACCTTTCAGGAACACCTGGTTTTACTTCAAGTTCTTTTTCAGGGGTCGCAATGCAAGCATTTTTCCTTTGTTCATATTTTGCTTTCGTTTCGTCGGTTTAAAGTATGGATCTAATTCCGTTTATGTAACGTTATCTTCGTTTTTATATACCACGTTTTTTTGCGTGAATTTGTTTTCATCTACGCCGAAATAACATTGCTATACATGCCAGTAATGTGTACGTATAACAAACAAAACCGACTTTTCTAGAGATCACAAATAAAATGATAACGAAATTTCTAAAACAACAGACATAAACATAAATACCACAGATGAATCAAGAGGCTAAAGTCTTCAGTCTTAGTATTCGCAACCATTTCCGGCTTGTCCGATTATTTATAATTTGTATTAAAATGACCATAAGACAAATAGAAAATGTCTCAGTAGATATTGATTCATTGATATGATAATTCTATCTAGCAAATTCTGTAACGCCGCAAACAAGTCCTGATGTTGCTATTTGGAACCAGAAGTCTGCCTTTGTCTTCGATATTATTGAGAAATTTGTCGACAGAATGACACCTTATCGATGACCTTTATTTGTATCCTTGCAGGAGCTTTATCTTATTTTCATGCTATCGCCAAACAAATAGTGACCAGCATATGATGTATCCGTGGAATTTTTTTTATCAATTTTTAAAGAGTTTCCTATGCTATATCTTTTTCTAAAAGCATTAAATACTGTTTACTCATTAAAAGGATTGTACTTGTTTTGCCTCTTTGTCTTGAACTATGGTTAGGGTTGCTTCAAATATTTATAGGTTTTGTCGCTGCAATGTGGATTGATTTAGGCCATACTACAAACCTTAACATTTCGTTTAAACAATATTTTATTCAATTAACAACAATGTCATACATATATAAAAAAGAATGTGATGAGAAAACAAGATAAGAGTTGATATTCATTTCATTCACAAAACACTTACATGCCAGTCATTGAATTTTTTGTCATAGCATACTTACTCTTGTATAATATCTGTTGAAGTTTTTCCCACAATAGGTTACTTTCATATCATAATTATAATAATAGAAATATAATTAATGCATATTTCTCTGTGAACAGATGCAGCTGGAAAAGTATGGATATTTACGATGCAAAGTGAGACGAAAACGCCGTTCATTGGACTTGAACCTAGTGGAGAATCAACCCTCTCAACATTCCCTTCACTCAATGGTGGAAGAGGAAGTTCCTGAGTGTAGTGACATAGAAGTTCAAAATGCAATACGGCATTATCAGAAAACATATAAATTACCAGAAACGGGTGTTGTGGACGAAGAGACTCGACGGCTCATGAGCACGTCACGGTGTGGTAACGCGGACAACGAAAAAGATAGACAAAAGCAGCGAGAGGCTGCGGCAGCTGCAGCTCAGGCTGAGACAGAAGCAGAAAATCTTAAACAAGTATTAAATAGTAATGAACATTTCCAAACAATAGCAAAAGCGAGAAATAAAGGTAGCCGTCGACCGTGGAAGCGGTCAGCGAAAAGTACATTGTTAATGAAAGCTTTAACTGGTGATATTAATAATAGAGTAATAGGTAGATCAAGAACTAAGTACATTCAAGATTTTAAAACTAAATTAAAAGAAGATACTAAAAAACTATTGCTAAATCCAGAAAGGCAGAAAAGAGATACAAGTGTCGTTTCAATGGTAACGAACGCTAGCATATGGGATGGACAAAAGTTCACAAAACACGATATCGCTTGGAGATTACTTGAAACGGGATTTAGCACAAGAATTCCTGTGGAAGAACAAAGAGCTAGTCTAAATTTAGCGTTTAGGATGTGGAGTGAAGTTATTCCTGTTCGATTCGAGGAAACAAATTCTGGAGATATAAGAGATGTGGATATAGAAATTGCCTTCGGAAGAGGTAAGTAATTATTTTGTGTTGCATGTTATTTGCAGTATGATATTTCCATGTACGACATTAAGCTGGAGGTGTGCGATGCCTGGTGGTTATTTTATTTCCATTGTTCTCAGCCTACGTATTCAGAATACATTGTCTTATTCTCCTTGTGCATATTCAGGATCCTCACTGTACTTTTTTTTCTTGAATATCTCGCCCTAGTTCAATCGAATTTGAAGTGAAATGGATATGATGTTGACGTTGACATGTATATATTATCGTTGTTTTTACAATTGATTTAAGGCTGAGTGTTACATTGCTTCTTCTCTTCTTCCTGATACTATATATTAACGAATACAGCCACAAATATGTTTCTGTAATGCCATGTTGCTAAACAAGTGATTTAGATCTTGTCGTTCGTTTGCACTCGCAGTATATACAGGTATCGGTATTAGATGCCAAACATTAATTTTATTTGTACAGTCAAAGAGGAATACTTCCATCTGTATCAGGTAAGACACCTGATTCTGGACATATATCGTTACTTATTTTTTGTTTAAAGATGTTCCAAGCTCTCACACTGGAAATAATCGTTTGCGAATTCGTCTTGAGTGAATGCGTTGTTATTAGCACATTGGCCCGCGAATTGTACATAAATGCATAAAAATGGTAATCGTTGCAGGCAAAGTTTACTTACTTACATTGGAACAATAGGCAGTTATTGTCAACGGTTATACTATTGCGTACCAAGCTAACTTATCTGTCGATTGCCTTATCAATGTTTCATGCGATTTCGAAGGATCGCTACGACTTATCACCACATGTTAAACATGCATTGCAGTTTAAGGTCGAATCTCAAAGAGACTTCAGAAACCTTCTTATGCAGTAACATACATGCATTTTATCAAACCCCGTTTCAAATGAGTATTATGCATTTGTCGTCTCGGATATATTGTATGTTTCTCGGGACAGGATTGTCAGATTTTTATTGACGTTCTGATGTTATTGAGCATCATTGCAATATTTTTCATTATATATTTAGATAACAATCATATTTATGTTGCTGGTATAGCGTTTGATATCAATTTTTAATAACAATGAAGTTATAGCAAGTGTGCCTGCTTGAGTTTGTGAACGACATGATGTGTGGAAAATCCCTTGTTTCGTGAATGAAAACCTTAAGAATGTTTCATGATAATCTGATATCACATTTCACAATGAAATGGTATTTGACTTCAATAAATGGAACATGTTTTACATAGACATTTATTGAATATACATCCATCGCCTGTCCTGGAAAAATGGGGAACCTTTGGTACATAGTTGGTAAGTGTACCGACCTAATTTTGGTAGAAAATTGTATGTTTTTGTAAAGGCGTTGCAAGTCGTACACTATTTGTTTTACATTACCGTGATTACTGGCATCAGGATGTTTGGTATGATATTATCACTGACACTGGTTCTAACGTGTTTACTTGGCTCGCCACCGACGCACAATGTCATTGATGTTTATGTTCAGTAGTATCATAAGACTGATTTACCATCATTCAGGTTAGCCATAGAAACGAAAAAAATCAACCAAACAAAAATACTGAAATTAGTGATACACAAAATTAAACAATGCAGATTTGTCTGGCATATTCGCAAGGTGCAAGTATTTTTGTGCATTGTCTATTTATCCATACGTGAAGTCGATACATGAACGATTTCCTGTCATCTGAAAGAAGTCGTTTAATTAAAACAATTTTAATGCCTTTTAAAGGGCATGTATTGTAAGTAGAAAACATGGTTGTATTTCTTGATATTGTAAATGTATTTTCTCCATGTTCGTTTATTTTTGAAGTGAAAATCGATGATCTTAAAAGGTATGTAATGGATACCTTGCCTGTCCCAGTTTGTATGTCGTTTTAAGTGTAGAGTTTGAATTCATGCTGGGGAAGGGATTCAAAACCTAGTTAGGAGTATTGTGGTCGTTCGCGTTTTCGTCTAGACCATGGATAGATAGATACGCCTTCAATAAAGTTTTTGTTTGTTATCGTTGTCTAATAGCTTCACAAAGATAACAAGGCCATCGAACTTTCCTGCCAACTAATACTGGCATTGTGAACTTGCAGATTGCAAAAAGGAATACTTGTCAAAACATCCTCTGAAAATGTGTTTCTTGGTATAGCAAATAAAGACAACCTTACAAACGTTCATGGAGATCGAGTTTTTAATAGTACACTGGTTACGTAGACAGGCTTGTACTTCATGAAACTTCCTTTCTGATCAAACAATGAAAGCTTCTTCAAGATAAGGCTTGAGGCAGCAAGTGCAGGCCTATCTGGTGTATATACATTACTTGTGTAATGATGAACAGACCTGGGCTAGTGGGTACCAACTACAGTAACGCCCGTATCTCCCGTGACGATCATCACACCTAATCTGTAATGATAGAGTCTCTAATCTGACACCTTCTAACTTCAATCAGCCAACAATGTTGCTGATACCATCCTTTTATATTTGATATTTGACAGAACATTTCAAAGTGAACAAGTGTGTTATTTCATCATATGTATATGCATGAATGAGAACGTGCGATTTCCAACTTATTAGCTACAGTGTATATTTGACTTGATAAAGCTCAAATGAATTGATGTTTAATTTCCATTTTAGAATTGAATCATTTTAACTAATTCAACTAGATATCACTGTTCACTAAATTATGTTTATACCAATCCAAGTAGATCTTGACGGCATCCTGTTTATATATTATGTGAGTCAATGTGTCTTTTTATCTTTACCGTTATTGTCAGTATAAGTACATGTCAACTGATTAACAGTAAAATTAAATCTTAGTCGAATAATTCATTTAAATATGAATTTTATTCGAATCACAGGACCGATTAGTATTGCATAACGACGTCGAAATGGGTATTCCTGGTGGGCATACATTCATTCGCAGGGTTCATTAGTTTAATAGCTATAATTTGATTAATAGAAATGATAATTATTTATCAAAAATGCATTTGGGTTCATCTTTGTGGCAGTGTTACATGTGAAAGTAACCTGAGTGTTCGCAGTTTAACCATTCGCCTTCATCATATTTCAATACAGGCAAGAGTCCAAAAACGGACACGGAGCAATTTCCAGACACTAGAACACTCTTTAAGAAAGAGAAGTTCATCAGCTTTATGTACGGAGGGTTGTTAGAGAAGTACAGAGGTTACAAATACCTTCACGAAGACTATATTTCGTAGTTATAACTTGCCAAACTGGGAACACCTTTCTTGTTGTGGATGTTCTTGCTATGTGAAGTGTTACTGGTGTCATATGTTATGTGTTGATAATTGTTTGCCGAGTATTATGCTATTCCTGTAATGTATCTATTATGTTGTACCACTTGATTGAACCTATAATTATGATTCACTGACCGAGTTATCTTTTTGTTTCTGTTCAAAAGTACCATTTTGGAAGGATGTCTGTAAAATAACAAAAATTACAAAAGTCATGATATATACCGTTTCTTAAATGTATTCTTAGGATTTTGATTCTAAAGTCAAAATTTCCCGACGCCTGTGTTTCGTCTGAAATCCCTTCTTGATTTTAGAAATAATTTCCTTTGAAAAGATTACTAAACCGAATGATTTTATTGAGACGTTCCGAAGTACAGTTAGATAATGATGTTTCATAAAAGTCAAAGCCAGTGGAAGGACGGAGTAAATATATATCTACATATCCATAAAACATTTGAATTTTTTGACTTCGACAATCAATTTTGGTATTCATTCATAATAAGTTCACTTTAACTAAATTCATACATTTGGTTTCATAGAAAAACTCGAATACTTAATCTGGAAATCTAATGTGGGATATGATAACATCTATATAGCAATTTGTCATCAACAGGTATATAATTTACCGTATATATTTGTGTAGCGTTCTTCTGTCATGGTTGCCGGTCCTTGTATTACACAAAGTGTGCGATATACACACACATGGAATGACCCCGCGAACTATGTGTGAAGAATTGAGCGATTGCACCAGTTACCACGCGGAAAGATCGCGTAGTGACATCTACCGGAATAGAGCAAGGCATTCTTCAGACATGTAGAATTCCAAATTTTTGCAGTTGAGATAAATGCTGAAAAAACTTGCCGTTGTCATGGTCTGTGAGAATGTACTCATTGGTAGTTAAGGAGATGGTGCACTTTGATAATTCGTACCACTAGAAAGACAATCAACACACCCTGTATGCTGTTACTTTACTAGCAGACAATCATATTGGCACGTAGGAAATTATAAAAAAGACACTAACGTAAAACTGTATGAAAATGTACTCATTGTATCTTTTAATGTTTGGATCCAAGCATACCTTTATGCCTAATGCGAAGTGCTTTATTACTAACGGTCTGATATAGTGTAAACATGTATTTGCTCTATTCATTTAACCAGACTCGTGATTAACTCCTTTGTTGTAGCATGATATTATCGTTTACGCGTAGTTCTAGTTACTGGAATTTCATACTTGAGAAACGTGTTTACATTGATGAGGCAGAGTGTTGTGTTTCAAAAAAGGCCACCATCACCTATTTTTTTACCTTTGATTTACATCAAAGAAAACAATCGACCATCCTCAATATCCTACACTTCTGGAACATCGTCCTTGAGGTTTTCATTCACTTTGGTGATGTGTTGCGTCGTGAATCTAAGTAGGTCACTTTGACTTACAGTTTTGACGTCAACGAAAATGTTTGTCCAGTCTCTATCTCCTACTCTATTGGAACTTCACACTTCAGGCAATTCACCTGTTTTAAGTAGGTGCATCAAACGCAGGTCACTACTCTTTATCGTTTGAACTACATCAAAGAAAGAATTTGTCTGTGCTCCATCTCCACGACGTTTTACTAGAACTTCATGCTTAAGTAGTTGATTTACAAACGTATGTCACTCTAACCCACAATTTGACCTTTGGCTTACATCGAACATTTGCCGTTTGATCTTGTTATTATATTTCAATATTACTTGTGATCTCGTTCTTATTT